GGCTGATTTAAACGATAGGTTACATACCCCAGTTAGTACCGGGTAGTTCTGCAATTTCTACTTCGGATTTATATTCACACATATTCTACTCCAGGGCTCTCTCCACTCTACAACTCAACCTAAATCATTTATCCCTTATTTCAGCGTGCTACTGTCAGCCTTGTTTTAATCTAGCACATTGCTGAATATTCATCTTTTCTCAGGAGCAGAGGTTCTGTAGCAATACATAGCTCCTTGTTTTAAATTGCACCAGTACCCAGTGTGCTCACTGAAAAGCTTCTGTCATGTTGCACTGGCTCATCAACATTAAAAGCTTCCAAAAGTAAATGTCTTGTCCTTCAATTTAAAATATTATGCACTATTAACTATGTATTAGTAAATTCACTGTTTCTAATTCAGTATTATATATATGTGGGGGGGGAGTATTAAAATGGTGTGATATTGACATCTTGTGGCATAAGTAAGTCACTACATGAATCAATGTTGCAAAAATAATTCTTATTCAAAACTGAGAGTAGAAATATACGTTTTATAATAGCCTGAGAGGTCAAGTTAAAACTTCTGGTGTAGTACAGTTCATTATTTCAATCACAGAATAATTTAAATATTTGCATAAAATGAACTGTTTTGAAATAGTCTTATTGTCTTTTCCTTTACAGAGAAAAAAAATCTATTTTCTTTTACTATCCCACATTTTAATGCATTCTACCCTGGGGAGGAGCAGTAAGGCGGGAGAGGGGAAATGGGGGGTGAAGGTGCACATGCCTACAATGTTCAAGACACTCAGATGTCCAAATTTGTAGCCAGAGTCCTTTAGAAAGGCCTTGATATTTGTGCAAGAATAAATTTGATCGGCTAGTTGTCTAGAAAGAACAACACTTTCCAAGAGGTAACTTTGTAAACCTTCGTCCATGTAGCTACTTTTACCTTTTCTTCATATTCTCTGAAAATCTAGCATCTCATCCGTTCTTGTGGCTCCTAGCCACCCATCAGAGTAACACAAAATTGTCACTTACTGACAACAATGAAAAGGGCCTTGAAGGGCTTCCTTTCTATTGTGTGGAAAAGGTCTCCTACTAGTTACAAAGCTTCTTCAACTTCTATATGATGCCAAGAAATTGCCATCTGTAGTGATCATTTGACTCCACAGAGGAGACTGGAAAAGCAATGGTGCCATCATCAGGGAAGCATAGGCACTTTCACAGGGACTTAAAATTAGTGATATTTTTTTTCAAATCTATTTCTCCTTATTGGAATTTTCTCACTGCTTATTAATATTTGCTGAAACAAATCCAAAGTGTCACAATATGAAATTGGGATTTTCTTTGTTACTTCACAGGAGCGAGGAGAGGCCTGTAACTGTTCATTGATATTTGTAAAATACTTTGGGATTCGTCAATAGAAGGGGAGAGGATTTTTAATTATTTTAACACAACTCTGTTTAATAATATTCATTTCTGGAACTTTTTGCCCCTCTCCTTTACTTGGAAAAAATATTAATTATTAAGATTAATTCTCTGTTGACATTCTTTGAACTGAGTGTTAACCACTTGTGACAGGTATTCTGAAGAGCTCTTTCTTGGACTTTTAATGCTCAGCTGCGTATTACTGTGAACATGCACATGTGACATTGCACTCCGTAATGCTTTATGGAAATATGCTTATGAATGTAAATGACATAACTGGAATATGTTTTATGCTACATATGCCATGTAACATATCTCTGCAAAGGTTATGATCTACTGAATATATTCATCCTATTTGTATGCATATATCATTTTTGTATTCGAAATTATGAATATTGGCTGTGTACTTGTTTGATTTTAAGTAGCCTTATTAAGGCATTTGGGCAACTTCTTTAGAAAGGAATTTGCAAGTTAAGTGCCCAGTCAAGAAACACTTAATGGACAATGGAGCTTGGAAGGCTCCAATCCACATAAGAAGTCTACTTGAGGACGTTCAAGGTAGCATGTGAACAACGCATGTGAACAACGGCTGCTACCTGTAAGTTATGAGTTATACATGGAAATGTGACTTGCCCATGTGACTCCAAAACTCCATCTTGTAGCTGGGATTCTACACAGGGGGAGGGAGGGGTGTCCACCCACCAGAGAAAGTCTATTTAAACCCCTGGGAGACCCCTCCATTTGGGCTTCAGCTGTCTCAAGAGATAGCCTCTCCACCTCCAAAGGATACCTAAAGAAACTGGAACAAAGGACAGTAACTCTGGGGGTGTGAGTGATTGCTGGACCCAGACTAGAAGGAGGCTAGTATGTAAAAGAGGCTTATTGGAACATCTCTGAGGGTGAGATTTTATCTGTATTCAGCTTCTTACTGTATTAGGTTTAGACTTGCGTGTTTTATTGTATTTTGCTTGGTAATTCACTTTGTTCTTTCTGTTATTACTTGGAACCACTTAAACCCTACTTTTTGTATTGAATAAAATCACTTCTTACTTATTAATTAACTGGGGGGGGGAGGGAGGCAAACAGCTGTGCATCTCTCTCTATCAGTGTTATAGAGGTCAAACAATGTATGAGTTCTTATATCCTGTATAAGCCAATGAGAGGACAGTTAAGCATGTCCCTAAGTGTTTGAAGGACTGGCTCTATAGTTAGTAAGCTCTTTAGTTTGTCTGTAAAGTACTAGGCACACTTATCGTGATGTATAAAAACATTTTCAATTTAAGAATGTCCTGTTTTTGAAAAATCTGATTTATTTGTTGCTTTTTTGAATGCAAACTACTCGGGATAAGTGACAGACATGCTGTAGCTATTCTCTTTAATTACAGAGAAATCACTTCAGCTATCTAGCCATTCAGCACTCTACTATATTTCTCTGGGTGTAGTATTTCACTGGTGTGCATCAGTAGCCTTTTCCTGTAGATATAGGTTTTGCATTTCTATATCAGATCATTTGTACAAACTGACAACATCCTAGAAAGGATAATAGGGAGACATGCAGAAAATGTTTGGCTTTATTGTTGTTGTTGATTTGCCTAGTGCTCTTTCAGATGCTATGAAATAAATTAAATAATAATGAATCAAAACAGTTGGTGACTGCTACAGAGGAGAAAAAACGCACACATACACACTGAAAAGTTCTTGATGTTCTTGTAGGTCAAGTTTAGCTAATAAATGTTGCATAGGCTATACAAAGCGTGTGTAGAGGCAAGCATTCATGTGAGAGTCAGATAACCCAACCGTTCTTTCTATTTTCTCTGTCAAGCACTCAAGACGACCCCAGCCAGGCACATACAAAACAGAAAATCTTAAGCTGTGCAGAGGTCAGCAGCAAATAAGGTTATCTTCAATGCTGACATAGCGCACAATTGTTCCCTCATTTTGAAATGGCAAATTCAGTTTGCTAGCCAGATGGAGCAGACTGTGACACTGTACCGGTCTTTGGGTGCCCCCAGGTGGAGTGCCTAAAAATCAGCATTACCTTCTGTCTCAGCAATATCTGTAGGAGTCCTGCTGAGACAGACAATCCTCTGTTGTTCCAGAAGTTAATTATCAAACAGGGCTCAGGGTCAGCTCTGGGAGACGCTCCCAGCTGGAGGTTAATTTAGTTCAGCTCAGAAGGAAAAGAATCAAGGGGGTTGGGTTAGCCAGAAAGCTGTGGGGAATCACAGAAGTTGCCCTTGATGGTTTGTTCTATTTGTTACATTTTTGACAGTACAGTTTGTAAACTATGTGGAAGGAAAGTGCAGCTAGAGCCCTTTTACATGTCGGTGTCAATCTGGATTAATCCACAGCTCTGCAAAAAAACCCTACCTTCAAAGGGTGATTGTGTTCAATCCTGATAGGCTGGTAATCTTTGTAGACATCCCAACTGGGACCCTAACTCTACCTGCAGTGTAGTGGTCATAGTGAGGATGATTTTCCTCTTTTATGTCCATGCTTATTGAGGGACATGTGCAGAAGTGGTGAGTAGGATGGAGAATTTTGGAGTTGCTTTCTCACATACTCTTCATGGCAAGTTGTGTGTCAGATATTTATATAGGCTAAATCCTTATTTAACCCTTCACAATCTCACAACAGCAACCTATCTGAGTTCAAGACTTATTTTGTTATTTCCTCTATCAACCATAACTTGTCCATTGCTTGCAGCTTGTTCAGCATGCAGCATCATGTTCTACACTTCTCCTTATTGTCTTGAGTAAGCATGAGAGTACATTACACTCACCTTAAGTTCTTTACCCTCACGGACTACAAGAAGGCAGACAACTTTAAAAGTCAACAGGCTCCTTATACCACCCCTTCACCTCGAAGCAGGCCTCAAAAAGTAATCTTCTATAATGGTTTTAGACAGCACACTTGTTTTCAACTTCCCATCCTGAAGTGGGGGAGGAAGGATTCTCAAAAAACAGATTCTCTATCCTGAGTTTTGAGCATTTTTCCCCCGCCACTGGTTTGTGTATGGAAGGGGAGCATTCAGCCCTTTGAAATTAGTCTTGCCTTGTTATATGTGATTTACTTTTCACATGACTATGGCCCGATTCTCCATTGAGTTACATTAGGTGTATGTCAGTGTGACTCCTTGAGGTAAGAGTCACACCAGCATGAAACTGCTGAAGAATCAGGCCCTATAAACTTACAATTACAACTACTGCACTACATTTTTCCCTTTCCAGTATTTGAATTTATTTCCTTTTTTAATACTAAGCATTTGGTAATCATAAGTTTTCCAGAAGTTCTCACCTGAAATCCCCAGCCATACGAACACTGCATAACAACTGCAAAAAACCCCACAACAGAAAGTTACACAGACTTTTGAAATACTTGGTGTTGACTACAATCTGAGGTTATGTTCTGAAAAGTATCTTATAGTTTTGAGTGTTGTATTGTACTGTATATCCCAGCATTGGATAAGGCTTTGTATTCCTATACAGTTGTTGTGTTCTATCACACTTACAATAGTCATTAGAAGCAAAAACATATAATCACTACAGAAATGAAAGCCATTGCAAAAACGTGTATCTGTAAGAATGCACTCACCAGGCTGTTCATTTTTGAAGATGACGAGCCTGCTCTCTGCTTCCGCAAGCTATGAAGATCTTCTGTGTTTCCGTCCTTTGGTTTTAAGATCATCCTGCTGCTTCCAGCATTGCCTTCTGACGAGGATCTCAGGCGTTTCTCTATGAGTCTGCCTTCTCGGTAAGGACTGAAACTACTGGCAAGATTAACTATAATAGAGAAGAAATCAGCATTTACATGCAAGTATTCACAAAAAATATTTTCTTCAGAAAAAAGTCACATTGCTTCAAACACTTATGCCGAGTGGCAGCTATTCAACTATTTACTACAGAGCTGTTCTGTTTGTACTAGTACAGGGGTAGGCAACCTATGGCACGGGTGCCGAAGGCGGCACGCGAGCTGATTTTCAGTGGCACTCACACTGCTTTGGATTGTTATCAAGCAGAATCCGTCATCACTATAGAAGCATGTCCTCTGGAATGGTGTTTGAAGCATCAAAGGACATATGAATCTTTAGCGCATCTGGCATGTAAATATCTTGCAACGCCAGCTACAACAGTACCACCTGTTCTCACTTTCAGGTGACATTGTAAACAAGAATGGGCAGCATTATCTCCTGCAGATGTAAACAAACTTGTTTGTCTGAATGATTGGCTGAACAAGAAGTAGGACTGAGTGGACTTGTAGGCTCTAAAATTTTACATTGTTTTATTTTTGAATACAGTTGTTTTCTACATAATTCTACATTTGTAAGTTCAACTTTCATGATAAAGAGATTGCACTACAGTACTTGTATTAGGTGAATTGAAATACTATTTCTTTTGTTTTTTTACAGTGCAAATACTTGCAATAAAAAATAAATATAAAGTGAGCACTGTACATGTTGTATTCTGTGTTGTAATTGAAATCAATATATTTGAAAAATGTAGAAAACATCCAAAAATATTTAAATAAATGGTATTCTATTATTGTTTAACAGTCAGATTAATCACGATTAATTTTTTTAATCACTTGACAGCCTTAATTTTCACGCATGTGGAAGCAGAGGAGGGATTTTAAAGATGGGAGTAGCACAATAGCACAGCAAACCTTGTGGTTCTATAGAACCCTTCCTCCTTTTTTTATTTGCAGAATGGGCTGATGTTAGTCCAAGATTTTTTTAAATATATCTTTATTATTGTGCAAGTATACACACTTGCCATATTGGTGCATGCAATCAATTTCTAGTCTAGTCTGATACCCCATCAAGTAAAATGTGTTTTGCTTGGCATTAATAATTTCCTTTGAATTTTGTTTAATCCACATAAATGTTTTGTACTGATCTTGCACAGTGAACACTAAAAAAAAAAAAAATCACTAACTACTGTTTTTACCTCATCACGTAATACACAATGTAAGATTGCTGTATTTGAAATATGTTTCTCTATTTGTTCCATTTAATGTGTATATTTGACAGCATTGTTCACATAGTTTCACTTTTTTCCTTAAATAGTCAGCCAATTTTTCATTTTAAATGAGTTTTTTCACTTCACACCAACGAAGGAAGAGAAATAACTTTTTTTTTTTTCTACTGTTGTTTTTCAATAGGAAAGTGCGATGGTAAAATCACAACAACAAAAAGATAATGGGCTTGTCTTCCTTCAGTGTTAGCTCATGGTATAACCTGAATGCTGCCCCTAACATGACTCCTTTGCACACACAAAAATCTCTGGCTTGGGTTAGGCGGTGCTTTAAACTCATCTGTCAGGGAGTATGTGGGTTGAAGCTGCTGGCACTGGAGCTAGTACTACAGTGGGGACTCAGTTACTCTGTGCTGCTCAGACAGACTAACTGTGCAACTCAAGTATTGTTTGGCAGGAGGGCCGGTGCTACCATTTAGGCCAACTAGGCGGTTGCCTAGGGCGCCAAGATTTGGGGGCGCCAAATATGCAGTCTTTCAATATGCAAAATTAGGCACTTCTGTAATTCACACTAACACAATGCGGCCCCATGTCACCCTCTCACAGTTAGACTACACTTATGGTGCATCTATACTGGAACAAAACACCTGCACTTGGCCCGGGTCAGCTGATTCGGGCCAGCAGGGTTCAGGCTGTGGGGCTAAAAATTACAGCGTAGACATTTGGGCTCAGGCTGGAGCCTGGGTTCTTAAATCTGGTGAGTGTGGTAGGTCTCAGAGTCTGAATGTCTACATTGCATTATTTAGCCTTGCAGGCGAAGCCCCATGAGCCTCAATCAACTGAACCAGGCTCTGAGACTCGGTGCCCCAGGTTTTTTATTGCAGTGTAAACATATCCCTAGAGTTTTTGACTCTGCTATACTTCATCCTAAACGATGTGATTCTTCAGCTCAAGTACCACAATGTCATGCTTTTACAATCAGTGATCTGAGGTTCCATGTCTCCAGATGACCCAAACAGGGGCACTGTTGCATTTGGCTATGCCATTTGCAACCACTAGACCACCGCCTGCTCCCACAGCCAGGAACAGGAACCATGTATCCTGCTGCCTAGTGTTTTATGGTTGTCTCCAGTATTGCCAACCTCAGAAGATCAAAAATCATGAGCAAGACTCCCCCACCCCTCCCGCACACAAACACAGCCCTCCCAAAATCAAGAGATTCATTGGCCAAAATAACTTTACTCATAAATTTGCAAGAGTTGGCAACTCTACCATCGTGTCACATATTGAGAGTGGGCCGAGTAAGCTAAAAATTAGAAGACAGATAAAAAACATGGATTTAACCTTTCGAAAACAAAAGCACAATTTTGGCTCTTTCACTTTTTGGGTTTACAATACTGCAAATGTGTAAAGCTACTTTACAATTTTGAACACCTTTTTCAGGAGAATCAAGGCAAAAATCCATGTGACGTACCTTTAGAGTGATTTATTTCATGTCCCTGTTGTGTTTTAAAGGATCGGGATTCAGAGGAGGAGGGAATAATCTTCGATTCTGTTACAGGAATTGTTTCTCTAATGTACTCAGATAACGTTATTTCATGTTGGTCCCCACATAATCCACTAGCCTTTGGAGAGCATTCCACTGTTTTTTCTTCATGATGTAACACAAAAGTTTTTAACTGTGCATCTGCTGAGTTAATTTCTCCTATGTGCCCGGCATCTTTAACAGGAAGTTCAGTAGTTTGCAATAATACTTGTGTTTGATTAGCAGCAGTATTTTTAGGCAAGGTATTTGATTCAGTACTACAAAAGCTTGTATGATTCACAGGAGATATAACAGCAGACAGGGAAGTACTTTCTACATGATCTATTTTCCTCACATAAGCAGCAACAGGACTGAGGAAAATCTGAGAGGTAGAAGTATTATTGTCAAAGTTCTGTGTGTGTGGTGCCGTGTTTCCACTATTGGGCACCACATCAACTTCTGAGAAAGAATCTTCGGTCAAGGCTAAAAATTCCGAAGGGGTCTGGACTGTGGTGAGGTCTGCAGAAAGTTGTGGTGATTGCAAAGAACTTCCTGCACATTCTGTTATCTCAGCAGAACATGATGGAGAGGACCTTACTGTTACAGGGTCGCTTTCAACATATGGTTTAATCTCCAACAAGCATCCAGACTGTTGTACACAGGAAACTGACTGGCTCTGGGGGACTGGCTTTGAAAACCTGTAGTGTGATGAGAAAGATTTCGGGAGAAGTTTCCGTGAGGATTCCTTAATAGATCGTCTACTTTGCTCCTCTATAAAGCCAGAGTCATCGCCCTCGTTTTTTCCAGAACGTATGCAATTTATAAAGACATTCTTATTACTTGATGGCTCTTTCCCCTTTTCAAAGTCCTCCGTCAAAGATCTTGTTATCTTCTTGCTCCGTGAACTGCCGAAACCAACTGAATGCCTCCCTCTGCTTTTAACATGTTCTTCCAAGCTCGGTTTTTGGAAATTGTTGTGAGTTGACTGAGCACCATTTGAAATACTTACATTCTGGCTTGCAGATTCAGACTTCTGTTCACTCCCCTTCTTGTTGTGGAAGCTGATGGAAGGTGTGCGGAATATGCTCCTTCGCTTGCCTGTGCTACCTGAGCTTGAGTTGGTGCTGGAGGGAGAGGAGCTATGGACACCCACAGTATTAATGGAGGAGGGTGAGGAAGGAAGGGAGTCATGTCTTCGACTAATACTTCTCCTGAATATTGGCAGTCGAGACACAAGAGTTGAACGTCTTGATCCTGAGTCCCCCATCAGGACCTGAAGTGTTTGGGACTCTAGACAGCCAAGACACCAATCTGGGGTGAGGGGGAAAAAAAGATATGTTTTAATACATCAACCGAAATCTTTGGGCAGGCACATTTTAAAATCAATCTGAAGATATGAAAATGTGAATGACATTTTTATTATAAAAGTCCATTTTAAATACAACTGGAAGTTGGTGCATTTATTTAATTAATGGCACTTAGAATAAAAATATACAGTTCAACGTTCAGTTCTGAAACTCTGGCAATCAAGCAAAAGATTAGCATAAATAGTATCACATGCCATAGATTTTTTTTTAATACTCTGCCCAAACGTTATCTGTTCCTATCACTTTTCCATCATGTCTGCTTCTAGACTGTAAACTCTCTGGGGAAAGGATCATGCCTTTTCTATGGTTTATGAGGGGCCAAGCATTCTTTTGGCCACCTAAAGTCTGGAATTTACAATGGAACCCAAAGAAGTTAGGTGCCCAGCTCACACTAAAGTTCAGTGTGGACTGGGTGCCTAATTCCCTTGGGTTCCTTTGAAAATGAAGGCAAAACGACATCAACTACAAGCTATATGAATAATCTCACAGGAGAGGAAATACCAGGTCTTGAGTCAGACAACTTCATGCTCTAACATTAAATTCTTCCTAGGCCCTTTTCTAGTCTAGTTTTGTATTGTTAAATATTTATGATTATATTTCTGCATTTATATTCTACAGATTTCTTTTTAATGTTTTACTGAACTCACTTAATCAATTACCATTCTCTTTTACATTAAATGACTTTTAAAATTAATTTAAAAAAATTTAAGCCATAAATGACCCCCGGTGATTTTTAGAACTAGCTCTGACCTAACTAATAGAAGCAGATCCTGATCCGCACAGTAGCTGGACTTCAGGAAAACGCAGCTGCAGTATAGCCAGAGGAAGCCTTGTGCTATGGATGCAGATCCACAAACAGAAAAATAGTGACATAAGAACAAGCAAGGCTGTAGATCTGACCTTTAGATGAGACTTCAACTGGAGTTAGGAGCATTCAGCACCTTTTTAAAAACTCAGGCAATGTATCTTAATTGTTCTCCATGTCCACTGAGGGAAGGACAAGAACTAATGGGATTAGTCTGCAGCAAGGCTGATTTAGTTTAGATATTAGAAAAAACTTTCCAACTTGAAGGGGATTTAAGTTTTGGAACAGGCTTCCCAGAAAGGTTGTGGAATACCCATCATTGGAGGTTTTTAAGAACAAGTTAAACAAACACCTATCAGGGATGGTCTACATTTTCTTGGTCCTGCCTCAGCACATGGGGCTGGACTTGATGGCCACTTGAGGTGCCTTTCAGCTCTACATTTCTATGATCCAGACAAAGATTCTAGATCAAACTGGAGGAAAAAAAGTAAGGAAGTAAAATAATTATATTGCCCAAATGCCCTAAAGAAATGTAATGACAAGAAAACACACTAACTAGGTAACTAGCCATGAGCAACATAAAAAATAAAAATAAAAAAAAATATCAAGAAATAGTAAAACTAAACCAGCAAAAAGTATGTCATACCATAGGAAGAGAATGATTAACAAGAAAATAAGTTCATGGAATCTTCTTTGATGACTAGTCTTTGCATTGTACTTTCTGCTCCAGCAGAAAGAGGTTGGTAAGGTTACAGTCTGTGTGTGTACACCCAAGCAGACACAGTATCAGGATTCACAAAGACCAGAAATCAATAAAGCAATTCTGAAGTTTAAGATGAAAGCTGCATCCTGGGAATGATAGCTAATCTCTCTTCTTTCTTTTTTTAAAATTACGTTTGATGACAACATAAAAGCTTGAGGTGGATACTACTGAGGTTTCAGCTGAAATCAAAACACAAATTTGAATACGATTCTTACTGGAGATGATTAAACTGTTTTAAAAGGGCTATAGAAAATCAAATGCGAAAAAGTATTTTTGTACATTATTGTATAATCGCTTATGGCCAGGTTACACTGTAGTGTTTCTGTTACTGAGTGTGTATGAAAGATACACATACATAGGAAGTTCAGAGATTGTGCAGCTATTTGCTTATAATTGAAGAATTCACAGTAATTCACTCTGTCCTGCCTAACCACCGTGCATACTGTTGCCTTCTCCAGAAATAGAGAGACAGGATCTAGAGGACAGAATGAGCTTATTTCTTCCAACTGACCTGTGCACATTAGGCTCAGCTTTACCAGCTGGGCACAATAATTGATAACTATTGCTAGAGGCATTGTATTATTTCATGGGGTCTGTGCATTCTGTTCCTCCCCACCCCTTAAAGGAAGAATACAGAAAGGCTGTCAACACTGATTTTTGCTCAGGATGGCAATAGAATTGCAGACATGTAAAATACAAACCAATCATAACATACAGGTTTCCCAGATACACAGTGATTGACCAAAGATCCAACTTCATAAAAAAATTGTCTACACCTCTCCAACCGGACAGAGACACATTCTCTCTTATCCTCTCTCTGTCTCTCTAGATACACATATACTGTGGCTATATCCTTCCTCCATGCTGCCTACCAGTATGGCACAGCATGGCAATGGCGCTGCCTCTGTTTTCCTCCTGGTCTCCAGCTAATCCACCCATCCTCCTCCATTTTCCAGCTCAAGATCATTTAGCCCTACAGCAAAGTCATGCCAGTTCCAACCTTTCCAAGGTACTGAAAGTCCAAACTAAACACACACTCTTCCACCCCTCCGGGGCTGACTCCTCAGCAGACTCTTCACCCCACCCAGGCTCTGCAAAGGAAGAAGAGAGTTCATGCTGATATTCCACCTGGACTGGTGCAAGCCTACATCTGATAGAAGCAATCTTTCTCACTTCCCAACCCCAGCCAACCTACTCTCCCATGAGAGCTAAAAGTCTTCTATCCCTCCCAGCCAGGGACCAACAAGCTGTGGTCTCCCTTTTGAGATCCCTTCCCCCACCCCCTTGAAGCCTGACATCTACTTCAGGTGTTGCACGGTGAGGCCCTGGCAGCTCAACTCATTCCTGACTCGTCTGGGGTTTGTACATCCCTGGGACTATGTATACTACATACAACATCCACTCATGGCACATCTCCGGTATAACTGCTGCAATCTCACCTCATCCCCTCCCATTCACACTCTCTGTTTGTTGGGGAGGGAGGGAGGAGAGGTGGTGTATTTGGAAAGGAACATTGATCAGTAGCTCCATGAGGCCTGGTCTCATGCTCTCAAATTTTGCTACAGCAGTGAAGAGATGATTGGGCAATAGGCTGCTGCTTGAGCCTGGATCTTCATGGATATGAACTGCTCCTGCCCCTAGCGGCATTAGTGGCTGACCAAAACTGAAGATGCAAGTCCCACAGTGAAGGAGTAGTGTGGGTCAGAGCGCTTTCCCTGTTGCCCTCAGGCTCTTCTCTGCCTTGTGTGCTCCCCAACTGTAGTAAACACTGCCATAGAAGAGATGCTGGGTGGGATATGGCTGTGTATAGCAGATTTTATCATATACCTCGCGGTGGGGGGCGAGAGGGGAAAGAGATGAATTGCCAGGGAAAACTGAAAGAAAATAATTGTTTCCTTGACTCTACTACTGTCAGACCAGGGAGGAACCTATCAAATAGTGTCTTTCCGGGAGACCTTCTGGTATTCCTAACCATGCTCTGTAAATAACTGAGGAATTGGAAGCCCTGGAAGCTACCACTTTGCTTCAATTGTTTCCTGCTGTGAAAGAGTTGCAGAGAAAGGGGTTATTCCTTTGCCTCTAGGATGTTAAAATTAATGCACTGGAATGGGTTACCTAGGGAAGTAGTGGAATCTCCATCCTTAGAGGTTTTTAAGCCTGGCTTGACAAAGCCATGGCTGGGATGATTTAGTTGGTGTTGGTCCTGCTTTGAACAGGGGATTGGACTAGATGACCTCCTGAGGTCTCTTCCAACCCTAATATTCTATGAATGCCCCCATCAGAAACTCTAATTGAAAGCAAAGAAATGGTGAGCGTTAAGTAATAGTATATGAAAACTGAATTAGTTAATCACTATCCCTAGTTTTGGCCAAAGAAATCAGTTTCACTGTAAGAACACTGAAAGCTTAGAAAATTATGAGGAGAGTATACAGTTACTAGTTGTTTGTATCCTGAAACAGACAGCTGTAAAAAAATAATATATAGCAAATGGAGGAAAGGGAAGTTGATAGTAATGAATATAAATCAAAAGCCAGGAACTATAGAAAAATTGTAAGAGAAGCAAAGGGACACAAGGAGAAATCTATGGCCAGCACAGCCAAGGATAATAAGGAGGAGGGTTTTTTTAATAAAGTATATTAGGAACAAAATGAATCCTGACAATGATATTGGTCCATTACTTGATGGAAATGGCAAAATTATCAATAATAATGCAGAAAAGATAGAAGTGTTAACAGTTGCAGTAATTAATCATTGGAACAGTTTATCAATGGTTTTACCAGGGATTCTCTATCACTGCCGATTTTTAAATCAAAATTGAATGTTTTTTTCCAAAGGATCTGTTCTAGAGATTATTTTGGGGAAGTTCTATGGCCTGTGTAATACAGGAGGTCAGACTAGATGATCACAGTGGTCCCTTCTGGCCTTGGAATCTACACTTAAACATTATTGGTTATAGTGATGATTTTACAGGTGTCTGAAAGCAAGTTTCAAATTGATTTCAGTTCACAGTCATATGCTAAAATTTGTCATGAATTTTGCTGTTTGTTTCAGTGGGATTATGAGTTGCCACACATGTTCTACCATTAACAAGGTGTGAGATGTTCTCTTTTATACTGGACACCTAATCTTCAGTTTCAGCATAAATATTGGCATCTGCCATTTTACAACAAAGGAACTTGATGAAGTACAACTCGTGTATATACACCTCTCCCACACCAAACAGCACATTGTCCATATCAAATCCCCTCATCCCAAGTAACATTGCTCCTTGTGTGGCCCCAAAATACAGCAACTTAAAAGCTATTAAAGAAACACACATCACACAGAAAAGGTAACTTTGATCATTTAAAGGATATTGTGGAATTTTCTAATGGGC